TTATAGAGCCTTTGAATTTCACTTTGCAAAGTGAAATTCTGCACGTATTTTTATCAAACTGATCTTGGCTTAAAATTTTCTGTAACACGCAGAACGGGGCAAAAGTAGGTTTAGAGTTGTATGTGAAACACAGCATTTACTCTTATGTTATTATTTATTAATTCTTGTATTACTTTCCATATGAACAGCTCTAAACCTACTTTTGCTCTACCCTGTTTGGTTGTGCCAAGTTATTGTTAAATTCAACCTGACCTCAATTTGTATTTTATATTCCATGGTTACCAGTGAACTCTCTGTAGCAGGTGGTGATTTTCCTGTGATGGCAAGACTGCCGAGTGGCTTAGTACTTCCAGTTTGACACTGTGCTGAGAAACGATGGTTTCCAATTGAGGTGTCGTCTGATGACCAGGGAGGTGGCAGCCCCTTCCCAAAATCTTGACTGATTTCAGGCAAGCAAGCCATTTAATCGTGTGAGCCTTAGACTCTAATTCTTAGAAGAAAGCTGGGAAAGGAACCTCATCTCAAGCCCTGTCCTGGAAGATCCTAGAAAACCTATATAATCTTCTTCCCAAGCCACTGAGGATCTCTATGCCCATTACCATGAACCTTTAGGAATCTTTCTGGTACCTGTTCTAGCATCTTGATCACTGTGCAGAAGAGAAAAGGAAAAAAAAAGCTATTAAAAATATACTCTTTTATTTATAGTCCATATCTCTAATTGGCTCTTATTCTGCAGTGACAGTAAAAAAATTCAAACAAATTACCCTCTTAAGTTAAATTCACTTTGAATAAATGAACAGAGAACCCCACTGAGCAGAACATTCTCTTGCTGATGCTGGTAGGAATTATTGTCTATTGAGGAGATTGACAACGTAGTGAACATAAGTGCCCTCTAATTTCACTTAGGATGTTCATGTAATTTATTGTCAAAGTAAGGACACTTTGGATATGAAAAGGGGTGCTATTAATAATAACATTAGAGTCACGGGCATAACCTGAGATTGTACTGGTCAGACTTCGCCTTGTTTTCCGTCCACGTGTACTCGAGCGCTACCTGCTTTGGACGGTCTAGGGCACCTCCTCTCCAAGGAAGATCTTTGGAGCACTTCAGCCTTCCTTTATCTGAATTACTAAGAATCGGTGGTGCAAGCATATCAGAAATGAGGATGTTTTATGTACCTCAAAGAAAGAATTATGTGCTGTTATTTGATGTACGTTTTGTTCTGTCTTAACAATTAGAAAGTAACCTTCTTGAGCACAAGGACTGTGTCTACCTGAAGCACCAAGGACATTGCGAAGCCGAAAGAGGACAGGAAATGCTTATTGAGCCCTAGCTGGTGTGGCTCAGTGGACTGAGCACAGGCCTGTGAACCACAGGGTCGTTGGTTTGATTCCCAGGGTTGGGCACAGGCCTGGGTTGAAGGCCAGGTCCCCAGTAGGGGGTGTGCGAGATGCAACCACACATTGATGTTTCTCTCCCTCTCTCCCTCCCTTCCCTTCTCTAAAAATAAATAAATAAATAAATAAATAAATAACATCTTAAAAAAAAGAAAATTCTTTTTGAATAGCTGACTTACCTGCATAATAACATTTCTTTCTATGACTGTGACTAAACATGTGTATTGGCACTAAAAAAAACCCCAAAACCTGGTTATTTAAAGATCTTCCTCCTGGGTTTTTGTAAACTTATGCAGTAGAAAGGGTTAAAATTAAGCCAAATACAGCTAATCATGTCCCGAGTACTCATTTAGTTACCAGATGTTTGAAAGTATCCACCCAGATTTAGATATTTTTAACTGCAACCAGACCTTTATAGGAGTATTTTATCACAGAAAGAATCATTTGAGAATAACTTAATTGTAGCATTCTGAGTAAAATTATAATTTTTACTATTTATTAAAAAAATAAAAGATATTTTTCTAATCATAAAAGTAATATATGGTCATTATAAAAAAACTTCCTAGAATATAGAAACTGTGAAGAGAAAACTAAAAATCACCCATAATCCTTTATTTTACAGATACATACTTGGAATATTTTGGCATATTTCCTTGCAGTTTTTAAAATATATCCATATACTATATTAATGCATAAACGTGTATATATGTGGTAGGCATTCTCTATGACGGCCCCCCAATGATCCCCGCCTCTGGAATCCATGGCCTGATGTGATTCCCTCCCTGTGAGTTACTTGCTTATAATCAATAGAATATGGCAACGTTGAAGGGAATGTCACTTCCATTATTAGGGCACAAAGGGCTGTGAATTTTGAGTTGCTAGCAGACTCTCCCTCGAAGCAAGCTGGCATGTCAGAGCATGGCAAGGCACTGAGGGTGGCCTCTGCCCACAGCCAGCAAGGAAATAAAGCCCTCAGCCCCACAGCCCTCAATGAACCGAATCCATATTCTTCCCCAGTTGAGCCTCAAGATGAGGCTGCAGCCTCAGTGGACACCTTGATCACAGCTTTGTGGGGTCCCGAGCAGAGGAACCAGCTAAGTTGTGGCTGGGTTCCTGACCCACAAAATCTATGACAATAAATGTGTGTTGTTTAAGCTGCTTAGTTTTGAGGTAGTCTGTTCTATAGCAATAGATGACTAACACAATTAGAGAATATCTCATTTATGGCTTTATAACATTTTATATAATACTCATAAAATTTCCTGTCATTAAGATTATTAAAAATGTGATTTTTTAAATGGCTGCTGAGAAAAACAGAGTAAAGATATGCCATATTTCAACTATTCTTATGTTGTTGGATATTTAGATTTCAAATTACTGTCTGCTATAAATAATCCTCATTCATCTGTCTGTCACTGCACATTTTATTATTCCACTACAAGTCATTGCTAAAAGAGGAATCAATGACTCAAAGTTGTATGGATAATGTTAAGGATTTAGGAATATTGCCAAATTACTTTCCAGAAAGATAAGGCCATTTAACATGTCTCTGAGTATTTTATTGGCCAATACTGAATAGTTTAAAAAAAAAAAAAAGACCTCGCCAGCTTAAGAAGCATTCTCTGTTATTTTAATTTTTATTTTTCTCATCATATCATCCCATGACCATTATTTGGTTGAAGCTTACTAAACATTTAAATAAAAATAATCAGTTAAGTATTTAGCTTAAACCCCTAGATCTACAAGTAAATACATAAATGTATGTCTGTAAGTCATTATTTATCAAGTGTTCCTTATGTGCTTTACAAATACTTTTTTATCTTCATGGTGATGCCAATTCAGCTGCCACTATAATCCTTAATTTACTGAAAATAGGCTAAGAATAATTTGCTGAGGGCAGCACCGATAGAGAAAGCATGTTTTAAACTACATGTAGCAATACAATTTCCCTACCTTGGCTGGTTACAACGAAATACCATAGAGTGGGCCTCTTGCAGGTGGCTGCTTTCTTGCTGTGTCTTCACATGGTAGAGAGACCGCTCTGGTCTTTTTCTCTTCTTATGAGGACACTACTCCCATTATTGGAGGCCCCATTCTCATGACCTCAACTAATTTTGATTACCTCCCAAAGGCTCTACTTCCAAATACCGTCATACTGGGATTCAGGCTTCAACATATGAAGTTTGGGGTGAACACAAACATTCAGTCTACAGCGACAGTATATCAACAGAATGAACAGTATCCATTCATATACTGCTTCTATGTATTTGTGAAAACTGGAAAAGATTTAAATTTGGCAGTTTAGCAGAAGTTCCTGCTGAGTTTTAATGGACCAAGTAGAAGTAGAAATTAGATTTAAATTCTTTACACTGTGATCATTTATGCAGAATCTGCAGGAGTTAGATTTAGGTCAATTAAAAATGCAATTTCCTAAAGGAAAATAAACAAGACAAATAACTCCAAGTCTCTAACTTAGAGGGTTAATGTTCAAGTCAAATTGGAGCTTTTCCAATTGTAAGTTAAGCTGTGGTTTGAGAATTTCAATTCTCTGCCTCCAAAGTCACGTTTAAAAAAAAAAATTATTGAATTTATTGGGGCGACATCGGTCAATAAAATTCTGTAGGTTTCAAGTATACAATTGTATAACACATCGTCTGTCTATTGTATTATGTGTTCACCACCCAAAATCAAGTCTCCTTCCATCACCATTTATCCCCCCTTTTCCCTCTTCTACCTCCCCCACCCCCCTTTCCCTCTGGTCAGCCCCACACTGTTGTGTGTGTCTATGAGTTGTTGTTGTTTTTTTAATTCCTTCATCTTTTTCACCCAATGCCCCGGCCTCCCTCCCTTCTGACAGCTGTCTGTTTCTATTTTATTAGTTTATTTTGTTCATTAGACTGCACATATAAGTGAAATCATGTGTTATTTGTCTTTCTCTGACTGGCTCATTTCACTTAGCATAATACCTTCCATCCATCAAAGGCAGATTTTAATAAGCCATGGAAAAAGTAATCCCAAAGGCTTTCTACCAGCAGGATAGGAGATCCTTATGTATTATTTATTATATTAGGAAATGAAATATGCTTTCCCAATAGTCATCACTGTAAAAACACACTTCAACAATTAAGCAGAAACCACAAGAAAATAATTTTATTTTTCTCTTATTTCTTAACCTGACATTTGTTAATCGGTGTCCAATAGCAAACATCTGCATGTCTTAAGTATTCCCAAACTTCACTAATAAAGTAGTTGACCATAGTGCTTCACTTCTAGGTAAAATATTAAATATACTTTTTTCACTATTTAATGAACTTTTACTAAAGCAAGAATTATATAACCCAACAACAGTAAAGAATTACAAAATTAAAGAAACAATGCTTTAAATTTTTGTACTTTGCTGAAAAATTTTTTTCTTAGAATCCATAAAACATTAATTCATTTTTATATTTTACTATTTTTTTATGCTTTTTCTTTGTTTTTTAAAGTCAACAAATAATCTAGGACTAGCAATATGTTTGCTAGACCTGGCATTTTCTCAGTACATAAAGTTCAAAGTTCTTTTTAAAACGTATTTTATGTTTTGCAATTTTCTCCTATAACATTTATGTTTTTCGATGTTTAGATTTTTTCCTTCGGTGAAGCACAGGTTTCTTCTTGTGGTCTCTGGCGAATTTTAAAACTGGAACCATCGTGGCACTGTTAATGGCTTTCTGGTAGCCCCTTGAGCCTCGCAGGCTTGTAACACAGCTACAGCTTCATCAACTTTGGAACTGAGAGACTCTGGAGACTCAAGCATATGAAGAAGTTCCGAATTATCCATCTCCAGCACCATGCCAGTGATCTTATTAGCATGGGTAGGCTGCATGGCTTCAATGAGAGGAAACAGCCATTTGCCCAGAATTTCCTTTTGCTCTTGAGGAGGGGCAGACGCCAACCTGGAAGCAATCAAAGACTTCTGATTTTGTACACGAACAGCAGGCTGCTTAATGGTAGCTTGTGGCTGTGCATTAAGTTGTCGAGGATTGCAGACGCCTTCAGTGTATTCATACTGCAGAGCGGCGCGGGCAGTGGCAGCGGCTGAAGGACGTCGACCCGCTGTCGCTGTTGATGTGCCAGCAACATGCAGTGGCTCTGTCAGGATGCCTCGTGGAAGCTGTGAAGAAGCTGGTATCGCGGTGCTGAATGGTGAAGGAAGAGTGGCTGGGCCAGTAGCACCGGGCACACTTTCGGATATACCCTGATCAGCGCAGTGAGGACTTGGTGCTAGGCAAATGGCTTGGTTGGGAGGATAGTAGACAGCATAGTCCTCGGTGTGTAGGCCGGCCGGCATCAAGAAGCATGGAAGTGCTTCCTGGTAGGGGTCGGCTGCTGGGTCGAACATAGACGTCATAGGTGGCATTCTCTGCATATAGTGGCTAGCGAGGTGAGCTTGGCGCTCTTCTTTGTACTGAGCGAAAGATACATACAATGGCTTGGAAGACACAATTCTACCATTCATGTCTGCTACTGCTTTAGTGGCTTCTTCTCGGGAAGAGAAGCATACAAAACCGAAACCTTTTCTGTGACTGCCCTTCGTCATAACCTTTGCACTAATGACTGTACCGAATGGACAGAACTCTTTAAAGAGACGTGCATCGTCAATATCCTCAGCAAGGTTTTTCACATAAAGGTTAACACCCTGGTCTTTGGTGATTCTATTTTGCTTAATCTCTTCTAATTTGTGCTTAAGTTCTGTCTGCCTTTCCTTTTTTCTCTGAGCTCGGGAAACGTAAATAATTGTATTATCGAGCTCCTTGCCATCCATCTCATCTACAGCTTTCTGGGCATCTGCATGGCATTTGAACCTTACAAATCCAAAACCTTTGGATCTTCCACTTTCATTAGTCATTACTTTGACACTTAAGAGAGGTCCAAACTGGCCAAAGACTTCCCCAAGGCGCTCATCATTTACATTCTCACCAAAATTTTTAACGTAAACATTGGTGAACTCTTTTGCCCTATCTTTGCGCTCTACCTCCCGTTGGTTAGGAGACTTATATTGCCCAACGAATATTTTGCGATTATTTATATATCTGCCATTCATGTTTTCAATAGCTTTTTGAGCTGTTTCCTGTGTCTCAAAATGTACAAATCCATGACCCTTGGAACCATTTTCATCACAAACCACCTTACACGAAAGGATGTTACCAAAAGCAGAAAACAGATCATGCAGCGCTTTATGATCAATGGATCTGTCTAAATGATTAACAAATACGTTGCCCACGCCACTTTTGCGAAGTGATGGGTCACGGTGAGACCACATGATGCGAATCGGCTTGCCGTATATAATATCAAAATTCATGGTATTCAAAGCACACTTCGCGTCCTCAGGCCGGTAGAAGTTCACATACCCGTAGCCCAAGGAGCGGCCGCTGATCACATCTCTGCAGACCCGGATGGAGAGGATAGGCCCAGCTGGGATGAACTTGCCGTAGAGCACCGCTTCGGTCACGTCCGGGTGTAGGTCTCCCACGTACAGCGAGGAGGAGGGGAAGCTGGAGGCACCGGGGTTCATCTCGGGGTTCATCTCGGCAGGCTTTGACAGAGCCATAGGCCTCGATCTTTGAGAGGAGGAGAGCACAGCAACAGCTAGGGCTGAGCGCCAGAGCCAGAGGAGGAGGGCGGCGGGGGCAAGCGCAGAGGGACAAAAATGTGCCAGACTCAAACGCTACTCAACGGTAACAGGGTCATAGAACTATTGGCTGGTGACCTCCAGCTGGGGAGTGAGGGTGACGATGTACAGTCCGGTCTGCCAGAAGGCCTCGGTCTCTTGGTTCCTTCTTGCAGCTGCTGCTGGGCCGCGGGCAGATTGGTCTCTGTCTTGGCTGCTTCACTCGGTTAGTTTATAAAAAGGAAGGAAAAAAGTCTCCGGCGGGGGCGACGCGAATTTTGATAAATTTGAGGGTTTTTTTAAAAAAGATTTTTAAAAATAATAAATGTGTCAAGGTACTTCTATCAAGACACTTCCATCACCACAAGAATCACTCTGTGCCCTTACAAAATCACACCTACTTCCTTGTGTAGCTCATGCCCTCTCTCTTAACCCTGGAACCATGTCATTTCAAAAGTGTAATTTAAATGTAATCACACTCTATGAAACCTTCTGGGATTGTCCCCCCCCGCCCCCCAGTCTGATTCTCTGGAGATTCATACAAGTAAATGCATGTATCAATAGTCTGTTTCTATTGCCCAATATTATTCTTGGTATGTGTGTACTACAGTTTGTTTAACCATATGCCTTGACTCTGGTGGTATATGCATGAACCTATACATATGACTGAATTGTAGAAAACTAAATACACAGAGAAATAAGTAAAAGTAAAACCAGGGATATCTGAATAAGATCACTAAATTGTATTAATACCAATATCCTGGTTGTAATACGGTATGATAGTTTTGCTTGATGTTGGAAAGTACTGGATAAAAGGGTTGACTCATCTCTATGTATTATTTCTGACAATTACATATGACTCTGTAACTGCCTCAATAAAAACTTCAATAAAAAAAATAATAATAAATATATTCTGAGCATAGAACCCACGCTCTGCACTCTCAGCACTAACAACCCAGGAGAGGAGGCTAAGAAGTAAAATTTTAAACCTTTAACATTGGATCATCAGGAGAAAAACATTGTATTTAAAACAAATACTCCTAATTCATTGAAGGACTGCAGTCAGTACTAAAATAACTGCTCACTCTACACCAAGAGTCGATAAACTATGGCCCATGGAGCAAATGCAGGCTTTCATGCATTACTATACAGCCTGCTAACAAAGAATTGTTGTATGTGTTTAAATGGTTGTAAAAAAATTGGCGGAAGGATATTTTTCCCTTTTTTTTAATTGCATTTATTGGGGTGACGGTTCACAAAACCATACAGATTTCAAGTGTAGATTCAACGAAACATCATTTGCACACTGCATCATGTGCCAAAAACTGGCACCTCTCTCAAAAGGTAAAAAAAAAGAATATTTTGTGCCATGTGAAAATTACATGAAATTGAAATTTCAGTGTCCATAAATAAGTTTTATTGGAACATACACGCACCCATTTATCTACCTGTTGTCTCTGGCTGCTTTCATGCTGTAACACCAGAGTTGAGTAGTTGTGACATACGGTCCTCAAAGACTAAAACAGTTACTGTGTGATCCTTTTCAGGAAATGTTTGCTGACCTCTGCTCTAGACTTCTGCGTCACCCTTCACCCACACTTGCCTCTTTTTTAAAATAACACTAGAACACACACAACACGGGGAATCATGCGGTGGTAAGAAGAAACTTCTTTTTACCTTTTTAGGGGAAACAGGATCACAGTTCACCACGAGAAGCATTTTGCTTAAAGACATAATGTTACAGCATAAACAGAAAGCAAGATCTTTTCGCTATGTACGCTTGAAGTGATCCCAGGTTTCCAGGAACCTGAGCTTTCTGAAGCTATCTCTGTATGTGAGTGGCGTGTCCTTTAGCACAGAGGTGATAGTCAACTCTATTTTATCTCCAGCATCGTATCATAAGCACCCTGCCAGGCGGTCCAATGAGTTCTTTCTTTGTTATTTCATGCCATCCTCTCAACAGTCCTCCAAGTAAATTTTACTTTTCCATTTTAGTGATGAGGAAATGGGCCCCAAAAGATGATGTTATCTGCCTGGCTAATCAAAGGTCCCTCCAGGAACTGCACCTTAATTCACCTAATTTGTAAGCTTTTCTTAACATTTCATTTATTTATTTTTAGAGAGAGGGGAAGGGAGGGAGAAAGAGAAGGGGCAAAACATCGATCAGTTTGCCTCTCACGTGCCCTCAATCGGGGACCTGGCCTGCAACCCAGGCCTGTGTTTTTATTTATTGCAAAGACAATGGCTTATCTTTGTTCTATTTTTCCCCCTCATATTTACAGTGACATTCAGTCCACTTTTAGAATACATTGTTAAGGAAAATTTACCTGTGGAGCTACAAATAGAGACAAAGGACAGCCAGTTGACTGGGGGAGTAACCTTAGAATTTGAAATTTGTGGTAACAGTGGCTTTGTTCTGACTCAAACCGGCAGCCTTTTGGTTTGCAGGACGACCCCCACCTCACTGAGCCACACCCCTCAGGGCTTCTCCTCAGAGTATTTTGTCTTATTGCCAGAGTGAGGAAGACTGTCGTTAACAGGGGTCAGAAATCTTTCCATAACTCATTGATTATTTTCTAACCTAACTTCTTCTCTAGCTATCCAAATAAATACACAACAATATCTATGCATTCTTCACGTTTCTGTTCATCCACTCCTCCTGCCTCCCTCCCTCCCTCCCTCCCTCTCCCTCCCTTCCCATTAATTCAAACATCACATGTTTATGGAGCCAACCATCATGCTAACTACACTTGGCATTAGGCACACAGTTGTGAACAGAACAGACATGGGCTCTGGCTTCATAAAGGTTACAGTCCTTTTTTACCTGCCAGAGCCACACGGAAAGTTAATTTTATTTGCCCACAGGTCTCTAGGGCCCAGGCATCTCCATCACATGTGGAGTCTGATGTCTTTACAGCTCACACTGCCCTTTGGGAAGTCACTTAAATTGGACTTTTTGGATGGCTGTTAGGCTTTTTACAAATAGTCTGTATAGTGGAACAAAGATGTTATAATTTGATTTTTGAATTGAAGGATAAAAAAATACAAGAGACATCAGCTTTTTAAAAACTAAATATAACACTTTACATAAATATTTCCCTCAGAGCTACTGAACGCATGCCAGATTTTAACAATGATGTCTAAATATACATAAAGATATAAAATATTTGGTTACACATTTTTCTTGATCCTAGCCCAAAAGATTTTCATCTATCACTTGTTTTGAGAGAACAGAAGCTGGCAGGGGTAATTAACGGAGCTGACCTGTAGGGTGAACAAACACACTGGTCGGGGGAGCCCTGGATTCTTTTCAAAGGACTTTGCTGGTAAAACTTGGAAGTGCTGTGTGGCTGCTGGGAGTTTTGTTTTGGTAGTAGTTACTGGTTAGGCTTTGTAAATTTTCCTTTCAGACATCTGGCTGTTTCTCAAAAATTGCCTTTAAGAATTGTATTTTGTAAGTGAAGAGCAGAAGCTATTATTAGCTGTGTGTTTGTGGTTAAGACATGAGGTCAGGTTTGGCAGGGAACCCTTAAGGGTGTGTGAAGGGGAGCCTGAGCCCAGCCATCCTGTGGCCGCTCGGTGCCTTGGAGAGCCGCTTGTTCCTGGGGCCACAGGGAGTGACGCTGCCTTTCAGTTTGGGGGAGCCTTAATCACGGAACGCTGCCTTGGGGAGTTAGGAGAGGTTTGTAGCAAACGTCTTTCGTTTTCAGAATCCAGTGTCCTAATGAGGAGATAGATACACATACATATATGGAAATAAAAAATAGATTTTATATGGAATATATATATATTATATGGAAGGTATATGTATTATATATGGAAGATATATGTATATTCCATATTCACAACTTCTTACTTAGGCCACGGACCATGTTGGTCTTGTTCGTTATTGCACCCCCACGTCCAAGCGCAGTGCTTGGCATAAATAATACATATTTGTTGAATGAATAAATGAGTTACAAATGACAACAGAGGGGAGGTTTAGAAAGATTAAGGACATATGTTAAACGGAAGGATAGAGGTTTGTAATGAGGGCATGCTTGCAGGTCAAGCATTTCCAAATTGTGGCATATACCCAAGGTGAGGGGCCGTGTTCACGGAATGGCAACACTGGAGCGAACACAGGGTTCCCTGGACCTGAGGAAACGGGGGGACTGAGGTCGTGGGCTGCACTTGGTCTGTCATCGCCCGCTTGCTTTGCCGGATCAGGCTTTGGGTGGCATTTTGAGAGGAGCCCTGGAGGAAGGGTTTATCATTGTTCCAGTTCACAGTGGCACCTAAAATGGTGTACGGTTAGAATTTCTTTACACTCTCATAATCAGCTTGCTGTAGAGCGTCACAGAAGGGAACGCAGTTTTGCTGCCATTGGCACAGATGCGAAATATATCCCAAACATAGTATTTTAAAAGGAAACTTTTGTCAAAAGACTAGTTAGGCTTTCTCTAAGAAATCCTTTCAATCCTCAACAATAGATAACAATACAATCCCCTTTTTATAGATTCACTTACAGCTTTCATGAGTCAGGAAATGGTACTGGGGGACAGCTCCTTTCCCGATGTTTTAGTCATAGAATTTTCTCTGTCACTTTCCAATAATTGTCTAGGAAATCATTTTGGATTCCAGTTTCAGAAGCTTTGCCTCGACAACAAAGTCATAAATATTCTCCCTTATGGCAGACATTTGAGGGGACAAGTGGATCCTCCTGGCACATTTTGTTTTCCTCTAGAGTCTCAAATATTACACAAGCCAGTCCCTTTCACAGTTGTGATCATAAACACTTGGGTAGCAAAGCGATCTGTTATTGCAAAGACGGTGGCTTCTCTTTGCTTCATTTCCCCCCTCACATTTACAGTGACATTCGGTTAAGGAATGACTTTCATAATACATTGTTAATGAAAATTTAC